GATGGAGTGAGCTATTGGAAAAGAAGCAAAATTGTTTTTCATGCAGAAATTTGTATTACAGACTTTTTTTGCCACCACAAAATGTAGCTAAATGCTTCCATACAGTGTTTTCCAAAGCAAAGCAAAAACAGAACAGTAGGCATGTAAGCTGGTGACCAGATTCTCAGCTGCCATAAATTAGGTCAGTGTAGCTCCACTGCACATAGTAATACTCAGACCATTTATATCCCATTGTGGCACCAGCCTGAAGAACTCTCCCTTTTGCACGCTCAATTTCAGATAGAGGCAATAAAAAGAAATGCACTAGGTTAGCACTATGACAAATTTTTTCACATGCCCTACTTTTATCGCTTTGGAACTTTGTTTGGATGGATTATTGGTAAATGCAACTTGTGTCCTCCATGTGAAACCCCTCCTGAGGCAGGAGGGAGAACACAGGAGAAAGGGGCTCTGCAGGTCAGAGCAGCCAGGGCTGTGGTCACAGCTGTTGCCAGCAGCAATGGGCACAGGGGAAGAAAGGCTGGTGGTTGGAAGCTCTTGGGTAGGAGATTGAAATGGAGGTGCCTGAAGATGGGATAACAAGAGGATGGGAGATGTTATTGCAAGAGAGCTCAAAATTACACAGTATGGGGATAAAAAAGAGAAGTTGAAGTCTTAGAGACAGGAGATTGAATTTTATAAAAGAGCAGCTTGTGAAATGGTAACAGAGTCAGGGATTAGAGCTTGGCAAGGGATGGGTAATAAAAAGAGCTTTTTCTCAGGCCTGTTAACCCCATATCTGTTAGGTACTCTTCATTCAGCTAAAGTCTTTGAGTTGACAATCTATGATAATGGTGATATCTACTGATCTCCACACTTTTTAGGTATTGTTATGAAAATTGAAAAAAACATTCAAGGGCATTTAATCACCTGAACAAGGAGGTTTACTACTCTTTGTATTCTTTCTTTTAGTAAAAACAAATATTTTATTCTCAGTTTGTCCTAGAAGTCACAAGATTTGAAGAGATCCCAGGGAAAAAATATTTTCACTGATTTTAAACCTGATGCAATTCCATTTCTCCACACTGCAAGATGAAACCATTTCAAATTTAGCAACCCAGTGGACAGTCCAAATGAAGCCTGCAGCTCCTCAGTAGCCAGTTTCCTTGGCTTGAGCTTCAGCAATCCAGTTGATGGCTGGCAGTTGCTACTTCATCTGTTCTTGTTCCCATAGAAACAGAGAGAAAATAGTCAAACTTAGGTAAAGCTTTTTTCCTTGCTTTTTTTTTCTTCTTTCTCTGAAAGAGAGAACAGCAGCAAAGATGTTCATGAAGTGCTGCTTGTTTTCCATGACCTGGGGCTCCTTATTGTTGGAACTGGCAGAACATAAGCAGCCAGCTTCAGAACCATAAGATCCTGTGGAAACTATAAGAGGTACAGGCACAAGTGAAATAGAGACATCCAGATATTTTTTCAGACAAGCATACAGACTATGAGTCAACAACAGTACAAGATCAGTAAGAGTTTACCAGATGAAAAAGTAAACAAAAAAGCATGAAGAAAACACCTGTAGTTGTGAATTCTTCTCTTTGTAATTTAATAGTATTCATTGACTCTAGTAAGGAGCAGACTGTATTGTTTGGGTTTCTTTCATTATTCCATGTGCAGACATGATCAAAATATTTGCTGAAATTGAATTATTCCTTTTGTTGTAACAATTTTCTGTAAAAGTACAGCCTGGTTGGTTTGAGTGCTTGTGCACACACTTCTTCTGGGCAATATGGTGCTTTCACTTAATTCTCCTGAAATTATTCTGGTTCTGTAATGGTGCAGAGGAGCAGCAGTTAGCCCAATGACTGTGTTTTACACCACACATTCCTGTAAAAATAAGACAAATAAAAATAATACTTGGCATTTAAATGTGCCAAAAAAGAGAAGAAAGTATCTCTTCCAGGATGGTATCCCTTCTGCCTCAAAATTTGTGGGTTTTATCACTACTGTGAATGCTGTGCTGCCCTTCAGAAGGACCTGGACAATGTGGAGAGATGGAAAGAGAAGAATCATCAGAAGTTCAAGCAGGATACATGCAGGGTCCTTCACCTGGTCAAGGATAACCCCCTGCACCAGTAGGGGCTGGGGGCCACCTGCTGGAAAGCAGCTCTGGGGACAATGGACCAGCAACGTGTCCTTGTGGGCGAGAAGGCCGATGGTGTCCTGGAGTGCTTTAGGAAAGGCACTGCCAGCATGGCAAAGGAGGAAAGGAGGTGATCCTGCCCCTCTGCTCAGCCCTGGTGAGGCCACACCTGGAGTGGTGTCTAGCTCAAGGGAGACAATGAAGCCCTGGAGCAGGTCCATTAGAGGGGAGCAAAGATGATGAAGGGACTGGAGCATGGACTGGTACATCTCTTTTGTGAGGAATGGCTGAGGGAGCTGGGCCTGTTCAGTTTCCAGAAGACTGAGAAAAGACCTCATCCTTGTCTATCTATCTGAAGGGAGGCTGTCAGAGACCCAGGCTCTTCCCAGTGGTGCCAAGCAATAGGACAAGAGGCAGTGGGCAGAATCTGATGCACAAGAGGTTCTACCCGAACATGGTGAAGAACCTCTTTACTGTGCTGGTGACCGAGCACTGTAACAGGTTGCCCAGAGAGGTTGTGGAATCTCCCTCACTGAAGATGCTCAAGAACCCTCTCGATACAGCCCTGTGCCATGTGCTCTGGGGTGGCCCTGCTTGATCAGGGAGGTGGTGACCCACTGTGGTCCTTTCCTGCCTTCCCTGTGGTCTTCCAGAGAGACATAGCACAAATGAATGACTGTGCTTCATCTGTCTGATTCAGACTTGGCACAGAATCATCACAAACACCCATCATGCCCAAAAGTTAACATTTTTGGTTCTCTTAGTGAGATATTACATGATTGTGGTCATCTATTTAAAGCCATTCTCCAGACAGATTTGGGAACAAGCTGGAGAGGTATCCATCACAAAAGTTACCATAAGGAAAAGCATAATTCTGAGTGCTAGTTTCCATATTGTGATATGATTTCAAAACATTTTTGTTGAGTTTTCATGATAATTTAGAATCTTATATATGCAGACACTAATTTCTGTGGTCTTCAAGCCGTGACAGCCCTGAGGTACTTGCACTGCAGCAGATGAGAGAGTTAACTGAGCTGGTGATTGTCAAGGTAATGAAATGGCTACAGAAAACCAAACACTCTTGTGTGTTCTTATGAGAAATACCTATTTCCAATAACTTTTTTACATTTTAATGTACCTAGGAGGGATTTATTGATGATTTTCATTAGTAAGGAACATTTTAGGATTTTACTTTAAGTGTATTTGGTAAAAAGAGCACTTAATTTTCTTTCATAATTTTCTTCTTTGCCATGGAAGGCAGCAATTTTACATGTTGTAAGAGGTCGAATAATAGTGCATCCTGCCTCTCCTTGAAATCTGGGAGACAAAAATCTCCAATTTCATTTTGAAACAGCCAAGAGAGTTAAAAAAATGAAATTTACTTATTGATTAATTGATTTGTAAGAGATAGATGAACCTAGATTCTCTGCTTTACTATTGTTTTTTTCTTGGTTCCCTATACTCCAATTCATTCACTTTCCCTCATAGCTGATTCAGAAATGTGAACTCTTAATGTGGACTCAATGTAACTTATTTTTATTCACCAGCTGGGACACAAGCAAGGTAACAAGACAAGCTCTTTCTTCATCAATTGTATTTCCTATATCAGAGGTTGTACCTTTTGTGTATAGAAGGTCAAACTGAAAATTACTTACAGAATGTAGGAGTTTATTTTTTAGAGCATCAAAATGAGTAGACAAGATTGAATCAAAGGTCTGTCTAACCCCAGAAGGACAGAAGAAGTGAATAATTGATGGGGAGAGAATAGTGACAGAGCAGGCATATCATGACAATTCACCCCAGTACATCCTGTTTTCTAGAGAGCTACACACACTGCACATGGGTAATCTATATTAAATAAATCCTCAAATGCTATAAAATTGTTATATTTCAATGCCAACTTTTCTAAGCAAACCTGTCTTGCTTTTTATGTTTATTCAAGCACTTAATACTCCATGGCCAAGGATTTCAAGGTTTAAATATATGTTGCATGAAGGACTAGTGTTTCTTTGGTTTCTTTGCATCTGAATCTTGTCATTGTTTTTTGCTGTCTCCCTCAAAAAACGAAGCTCATGACCTTCACCATAAGTGTCTGGAATACCTGTGCCTTGTGCCCACTGATAAAAAGATGTACTAACCATTTGCTTACCTAAAGCTGTACTGTAAGAGAAATAGGGACTTAAACTTCAGCAAATCCTATTTAAACCAGAGGCTGAACTGCCTCCATTAATAAATGATGATTTGGGTGAAGATAAAACAACTACTAGAAAATCAATATTTAGTTATTATCCAAGGATACAGGCTGTTTTTATCTCTTTTCACATGAAATTACATAGTAAAACATTCAGCATTTTGCTGATTGGCTTTTCATCAGCAAATCATTTCTTATAAAAAGCAAGCAATAGCCCAGCTATCAGCAACAGGCAGGCATCATGCATCTCATTATCTGAGACACAAGAATCTTAACAGGGAAATACTGCTGCTTCCAAATCATTCCTCTGCTGTCTGTATTTAATAGTGTTGCTGTGAATACGCTTGTGGTGCTTTTGAAGGGCTGACATCAAGAGATGGCTGAAAACAGAACTTGTTTTCTGCACCCCCAGGATCAGGAAGAGCAGTGACAGTAGGCACATGTCAGTCAGACTGACGCTACATGCCACTGATTATTTGCCATTTTTCATAATCCAGGTTTCTCTGTGTCTTTCAGAAGGACTTTTGTTTGCAGAAGTGAAGGCATAGGATGTGTGCACATCCACTCAAACCTTGAGGAGTCATATGGCAGGTTTGAAATAGGTGGTTGAAGCAGGACAAGCAAGGTTTATTCACTTGGATGTCTGGTTTTATGAATTATAGATGTCTAGTAATTCTGAATTTTGACCTTTTTTGAGTATTGTATGAAAGGAGAGAAGATCAGCAGTCCCCTTGAAAAGGATGGAAGGGGCCCTTGTGGCCTGTACAAAATGCATACAGTTAAGGCACTGCCACCTACTTTGTGGTATATAACCATGTTTAACCCAAAGGAACAGCATGAAGTTGTGTCAGGGGAAGTTTAAGTTGGATATTAGGAAAAAGTTCTTCATCCACATGATGTTTGGGCACTAGAACAGTTCCCCAGGGAACTGGTCACAGCACCAAGCCTGACAGTTCAGGAAGAATTTGGAAAACACTCTCAGGCATAGGATATAACTCTTGGGGTGGCCTGTGCAAGGCCAGGAGTTGGAATCAATGATCCTTGTGGGTCTCTTCCACCTCAGAATTTCCTGTGATTCTATGACAAGGCAAAAGGCTAGTATTTAAAGTTGCTGCCTGTCCAAATTCACTGGTGGTTGTTCAAAAATATTTTGGACTATTGAACTGCATAAACGTGTATTCCAGCACTTCAGGTATAGGCACAAATGAATAGAATCCCTTACTGTAGGTAACAGAGGACTTAAAAATGCTGCTGTCAGGTGTGCAGTCAGAACTGACTGGGGGGTTTCTTCACAATACAGGTAAAATTTAGGTTTCAGATGTGATGTGGTAAAATTCCTTTCTGCTTTCTTCTTGCATGTTTTACCTTCCTTCCCACAATGGAAAACAGAGCTGTGCCCCATTGCCCTGCTCTCCCCTGCCCAGCTCTGAGTCCATGCTCTGGGGAGGAAAGCAGCAGGTACTCCTGGCCAGGGCTGGGCTCAAAGAGCAGGAGTGAAGGTGCCAAAAGGGCTTCTGGTGAGCACAGAAGCCCTGCATCCATGCAGCACTTTTGAAGTCTCCCTGTGGAGTGCACATGGGAGTTTGGTGTGCAGCAGCAGTGGGAAGGCCATACAGATTAAGGCTCCTTCTCTCTCAGTTCTGAGCTCTGTACCATAGCATGGGCTCTTTCAATACTTCAGATCTTTTTTGGGGGTTTATTCCCTTTCCATGTGCATCAAACATGATGCTCACTAGCTCATTAATATTCTGCTACACTGTGGCTGGATCCTGAAGCTCTTTCTCATTCTCATTCTCATTCTCATTCTCATTCTCATTCTCATTCTCATTCTCATTCTCATTCTCATTCTCATTCCATTCTCATTCTCATTCATCCTCATGCAACTCTGCTGCATTGCATGAGACAAGCAGCATAAGCAACAGCTGCCTAGCTCAAACCACATTATGAAAATTGTAGGCATAAAATGATTAACATCATTTCTAAAATCTAAAGAAAATTTAGCCACAGCTAATTTCTCCAGGCACTATTGGAATATCTTTTTCTTGTTTAAGAGGTATATAGGCCAGTCAAGTGTTATCAGGAACTAGCATTTAATGAGAAAGCTAATGCTTTCTTTGCTTCAGTCATCAGTTTTTCTAAAGCTGACTATTCTGAGAAATCTGGGTTGTTTTTTTTTTTTTTTTTTTAATATATAAATATGCTAACACGTAGCACAATATACAGTACAGATGAGCAATCTATGTCCCCATACTTCATCAGGAGCCTCTTTCACTCCTCCTGCATGTAGCACTTGTTCTCTCATTTACTAATTCTTTAAGGACTGACCTGACTTTTACAGTTTATCATGATTCAAGAGCAGAGTACAGCCAAGCTGCTTCAAAAGCACACTGAAGCACAGTTTGTACCCCAGGCCCTCCAATCCTCCTTTGACAGTGTGTATTGAACCAGACCAGGAAAATTATCTGAAATATTCCAGTGCCACATATATTCAAGCAAAAAAGAGGCAGAAGACAACAGCATGGGAGGAGAGAACTGTCCTTTCCTAAGCACTCAATAAAGTGCACTGACGTACCCCTTAATCAGTATGGGGATGGTCTGGCTTGGTGTTATGGGCATAGTTCATACTGAATTTCTGACTTCTCTGACCAGTGTCTGGAAGATCTGTTACCTGTGATAGACTCCAGCACTGTTAGATTGGAAGCCACACAGGGCTCCCTACCTACCTGCAGTCCTCCTATTGGGAGTAAAACCACCCCATGAAGTGCATTAGAGATACTTTCCTTCTGTTAAAGATGCTTAGCAAAATTGTTCTGTAGAAAAATGAAAACAGTCACCATCTTCTGCAGCAGCACAAGAGGACAAATCAATTCAAATTATACAGAAGGCAGTGTAGCTCCCCATGGACTTTCTGTTCTCAGAAACAGTAAGAAACCTGAAGTAACCAGTCAGAGACAATCAAAGACAATGAAGCAAACACTTATTGAAAGGACTTATTAAACAGTACTGTTACATCATATGATTGTGGTCTTGTCTAGCATGCTTTATTATCCACTTATTCAATATTTACAAATACAAATATTTCCTTCCATTTTTTTTATAACATTTTGTGGAGAAATAATTAAATATCTGTATATGGAAAAGGGAAAAAATCAAGACACCGAGCAAGTTAAATGATGAAAAAAAAATCAGGTTTGGAATTAATCCCAAGTGATTTTCATTTATTCACTGAGTTGAAACAATTCTCTTGTAAGACATTACAGATTTAGTACACAATGCTGCTCAAGAATTACACTATATTTATAGTGAGCTAGGAAGTATTGTGAGACAGAAATTAGACACATTCTCTTCAAAGCTTGACAAAGGTTAAATTTTGCCAGGGTGTCCTGGCAAAAGAGAAAAATAAATGTATGCAACTTATGCAAAAGAGATTTTGCTATTAAGGTAAATGTTTCTGTTTATTACCTGCCACATACTGGTACCATTTCTCCAAAGTAGTAAACAATATGCTATATGCTTCTGATAGGAAAAACACTCATTTAAATGGTGCTTCTTTGCAAACAAACTTGTATTCATTGACAGTTATTTTTAATTAGAATTTTGTCAAAATTTAATTTTAATTTTTATAATCTAGTATATGAGATCACACAGTTTCAAAATGCTGTCCCGGGAGCTGCTAAAATTACCCAAAGTTGTATTGAAGAAATCCACTATTAACAGAAAGAACAGCATTCTTCAGTCTCAGATAATAAAATCAAAATAAAATGGAAAAACATTTGATTAAAATATCAAAATTACCAGTAACTATAAATGAAACTGGATTAAAGGCATATAATCTCTAGGAAGAACTGTCTAAAATGGCAGACTGTAAATCCATTGAAAGGTGCTTCCTTGCACAGAGCTGTGGCTGCAGTTGCAGAAGGACTAAAGGACATGGATACAGCCTGAGACAGGCCCACGTGTCCACAGAAACATCAGGGGAGGGAACAAGGCAACCAGCCAGGGCTGTGGCTGAGCAGAAAGCGCCACTGACATGAGAAAACTTCTGAGGAAGTAAAAAAAATTTTATTTTACAAAGACTTCTGAAACCTTTCCAAGTTCTCAAAAGCAAATGGCAAAACTTTCTAAAACATCTAAAATGACTTTTTAAAATTAAAAATTACTAACTGTCTTCCTGTGGCATTTTGGTTTTTCATTGTTCTGGTAATATGTAATGGTAGTCTCCTAACCTTATTTCAGTATCAGATATATTAAATTTTACCAGAATATGGAATAACTGGAAAAGTTGTTTGGTTTTACTTTAAAAACCTGTAGGAAGACTTTCCATTTTCCCCTGAGAATCAGAAGAGAGTAAAGCAAAAGGATGACAAGAGCTGGCTACGGTAGAAATGCATTTATTAGACAGAAGCGGGACTAGAATAAAATTGTGTTAGGAATATATACTTTATAGTGGCAAGACCAAAAGTAAAGAAAGTGTGAAAAGAGATTCATTGCTTATCAAGCTGGGAGGAAGATAAAATGTGAAAACAATTGAGTGACTGAAATATTATTGTCAATATTAAGAATGCGGATTAAAAAGATTACTATAATTGACAATAATTTCACATTGTGTAAATTTAGAGTGAGAAGAATTTCAAGAGGCTATAAATGGTAAATCAGTGTTGTCAAAAGAAAAAGTATTCTCTTTCTGCCTATGTTTATTTTCAAATATGTTACATCAATATATTTTCAGTGAAACACTGAGATTTTGATTAAAATAATTTTTATAGGCTGAGGTCGTTTTCTATTAAAAGAAAAAAAAATCACTGAAAGTAATCTTGGGCTTTCATTATTTGCAATAAAAATTATAGAGCCTCTTCGGAAAAAGAGATATATTCTGATACAGATACCTTTGGATATCCTAGAAAGAGGCCTGCAAGTGTATTCATGATGAAATAGCAAAGACAGGAATTGAGAGAAATGAAAGCAGTTTTGGAAAGGACATCTGTGGAAACAAAGACAAATGAATGTTTTAAAAAATATTTATGCTAGGCTGATTCAAATCACATTGTGAGGCTGGTGAGTCATGGAAAGCAAGAAAATAATAGGAGTAAACAGAGAACTGCCTTGTGAGATGGCTAAAGCTTGTACCCTCCACCACCCTTCCCACAGTGATGTCCCTCAGGCTCCTGGGTGATGAGGTGAGGAGGAGCCATGCCCTAGCAAGGGCCAAGCTGAGCTGTCCTACAAAGCTGTGCTGAAGCAGAACAGGCAATTAATGCCGGGGATTGCATGCATGTGAGCTTCCGATTTGCTTGCATCTGTTTGCCGTAATCAGCGAGCGGCTAGCGCTGGCTCCGTGTACCCAACCGCAGGAGCTGAAAGGACAGTGCTGAGAGAAAGATTTGCAGTTAAATTGCCTGAGCAGACTAAACACAGAAAGAACATTTTAAATTAGCTGGGTTCAAATGTCGGCTCACTTCAGAAATTAGAATTAATCTGATCTATCACTGTCTCGCACATCTGTCAGCATGAGAAAATCACTAACTGGCAAGGAAACAGAACTGGCTGTCTGCTCTAGTCCAGAACAGCAGAGCTATCAGATTTCAGGAAGGTTTTTACTTCTCTTATGAAGGAAAACTAGGGGTAAAAAAGGAAATTAACTTTAAAAGAGGGAACTCCTTTTCCATAATGATAAGGGAACTCAAATAGCATATATTATTGTTAGGGAGAGATAATATAAACATTATTAATAAGAATAGTCATCATTTACATCAAATAATTACATTCTTTAACTGGTCCTTGTGAATACAAACATGAAATTACTCATATAATGACTCCATATA